AGAATGCTGAAGTTTTGCGTGATTGCATTTACTACTTCAGCCCCGTATGCTGAAGTTATGCAAAAAAGCGGGTACGCTTGTAATTTTTTTTGCAAAGCGAGCACAAGTTAAAACGTGATACAAAAAAGCGAGTATAGATGCAAATGGTATTATATCTACACTTGTGCGTTCTAGTCTCTGACAGAATGAAAAATGACAATAAAAACCTCTAGCAAACACCTATCTCCGTTAGTGGAGAACATTAGAAGTTTAGTCCGTTTATGATGATTTGAAGAATTAACATAAATAGCAGCCCACTCAAGTACTTAAATTAAAAAGGGAAATTTTCGTATATATACCATATATGAAACTATATTACCAACTATGTTAATAGTTTGCATATTACCATTCATGCTAATAGTATTTCTACATAATATATACAATGCATTAAATAAGAATCATTGTAGCTTTATGATTCCTTATTTAGGCGCGGTAAAAAAGGGGAATTAAATATTCTTCTAGATCTTCCACAACGCAAATCACGCACATTAATCTTCTTCGTCAGTTTCGTTTCAAATTTAGCGCTCTGCTTTTTCGACACACTGTGTTTCAAACCTTTTTTCTGATTTCACAAATCAAAAACGACTAAATCTTCTACAATTCTTCTACATCAAACGCAATTAAGTCCAAATTTCAGTAATACAAAGCAAAGGAAAAGAGAGTAGCAATTCCACCATTGACAGCCATTAAAAAGCTTTGAAGCTTTGAATTGAAATTTGGATTTTCAAAAATCATTATTTGTTTAGATTGGGTGTTGCAAATAATTGGGAATATGGTTTGGAGTTTATATATCAATTTTGAGGAATTTTGGTGAAGATTAGACTTGGTTTTGGCTGAATTTCGGATTGAAACTCGAAGAAGAAGAAGAAGAAGACATGACATACATTATATTACAGAAATTGTAGAAAAATTGTAGATAAATTGTAGACTGTTGTTTATTTATTTTTCTTTTATTCATTTACCTATTGTATGGAAGTTGAACAACATTGTATAAAAATTATATTTAAGTGGATGATTTAGTACTGTTTTGGACAAAAATATGTATCAAAAATGTGAAACATACATTTCAGGGGAAGCATGTCGAGTCCAAATATGTACCCAGTTTGTAGATATTTTGTAGATAAATTGTAGATTATTTGTATTCTGATTGTAGATGCTTTATTTTATGTTTTAACAAATAAAAAATGACTAAAACTTCTACAAATCTTCTAAAAAAACGCAATTATGTCAAAAATCCCAATTATGCTACAACTGAATGGGAATTGGGATATTAAAATTCAATGTACCCAGTTTGTAGATAATTTGTAGAAACATTGAAATTCTGTATTTTCATATTAATTTTTCAAATGATATGTAGTTTTGTTGTAGATTAAATGTAGAAAACAAGCCATTGTGAGTCTTATTTGACTCATTCCTCACATTCAACATATTCTACAAATTCACGCCTCTTTAAATACAATACAACCATACTTCTTGAATTTAAAGGTATAGCAATATATATAACTTAAAAAACGTCTTCTCATCTGCACAAGTTAGCTTCAAAACAGACGAAGTGGAATAACAAGCTCCCATCAAAACTTTTAACACAAAAACACAAAGTTGAAAAATAAATAAACAACAGTCTACAATTTATCTACAATTTCTGCAAATATAACGTATGTCATGTCTTCTTCTTCTTCTTCGAGTTTCAATCTGAAATTCAGCCAAAACCAAGTCTAATCTTCACCAAAACCCCTCAAAATTGAGATATAAACTCCAAACCATATTCCCAATTATTTACAACAACACCCAATCCAAACAAATAATAATTTTTGAAAACCCAAATTAGAATTCAAAGCTTCAAAGCTTTTTAATAGCTGTCAATGGTGGAATTGCTGCTCTCTTTTCCTTTCCTCTTATATTACTGAAATTTGGGATTGCGAGATAGAGAGAGACGTAGAGAGAATTCTCAAATCTTTGCAACAACATCCAATCCAAACAAACAATGTCTTTTGAAAATCCAAATTCGAATTCAAAGCCTTGGCTATGGAAGAAATAATGGGATTTTGATACAGAAATCGTGGGTGTGGGAGGAAAACGTGGGTGAAGGTGTGGGAATTGGAGAGAGGAAACTGGGGGGGGGGGGGGGGGGGGTAGGAGGTGGGTATTAGGAAGGAAGTAGTATGGGTACCATTAAATTAGGGAGTGTAATTAATACCCTTAAAAACCACTAATGGTATATAATTGATAATTAGGTATACTAAATGTAATTATATCAAACCTTAAACATTGAGCGTAATATAGTTTGTTATATGGCATAGGAATGTAAAAATTCCAAAAAATAACTTCTTCCCAAAAACACTTTAAGAAAAGTACACTTAAAAGCACTTTTAAAAGCCCAAATACTAATTGTTGCTCAAAAGTATTTTTCAAATTAATTAGTCAAACAAACTGTTTCTCACCAAAAGTACTTTTTTACAAGCACCTTTGAGAAAGACACTTTTCAAAATAAACTGATTTTAGAAGTTTGGTCAAATTGGCTATTAGACGGTATCTGATCATCGTGATCTAGACAAACAAGTCACGATATGACGTTCCACGATATTGATCATTCAAATAAACTTATAATTATTTGCTCAAAGCTTTAGTTTAATAATGTAGTCATTATTTTATATTTTTTTTTACATAACTAGGAATACACGTGCAGCGCACGTTCCGAGAAACCAGTATACATATATATATATATATATATATATATATATATATATATA